GAGGGAGAGGAACTGTGGGCAGAAGACTGAGGCAGGAGGAGAGAGGAGGGAGGGTAAAGCACAGGCTTCTAGGATATGCCCTTTGGTTGGAAGACGATGAATGGAGGGGATTGGAAACATGGCAATGTAATGATATACGATGGAATGAATATGGAACTGAGGTTCTCTCATGTAAACTATCATATAATTCACAATAAAACATTAAAAAAAAAAAAAAAAGAAAGCATTAAAATAAATAAAGATGAACCCACACTCCTAAACTTCCATGTTATTGTACCAGCAAACATTTTGAATGTCATCTTTTCCTGTTCTATTTCAGTCTTCAATGCCACAATAAAACTAGAGTATAGAAGCATAGCCTAATCACAAGTTCAATACTTTGCTTACACTGTACCATTAATTGATAGTCCTCTTGCCTATTTCCAAGGTCAAACCTGATCCATTTTTCAGATCCTCATCAAATGACATTAATATTCCCAGTTCTCCTTTACATGTATGCTGTTGTTGTTGTCAAACACCATCAAGTAGGTTTTGACTCATAGCAACTCTGCAAAGGGTTTCTCAGGAGCGACTGGTAAACTTGAACCGCTGATTTTGCTGTTTAAACCAATTTTGCAGTCCAGTGCTTTAACCTATAGAGCCACACCAGGTCTACTAAATGTATGTAGAGTCTTTAATTTTCAAAGCAAATCCTCATCCGTATTTTTTACTTAAGCCTCCCAACAGGGAGGCAAGAAAGAGACATCCTTAGCCCTCTTTTTCTTTTTTTAAAAAGTTTTTATTGTGAATTATATGATCGTTTACATGGCAGAATGTCAGCTTTACATTTATCCTATCATATATCATTTCATTGCCATAGTTATAATCTCCTCCATGCATCATCAACCAACCAAAGGATACACCCCACAAGCCTGCCCCCTGGTCGTCAGCACACAGCCCCTCCCCCTCTCTGGATCTAGAGTCCCCAGCTGCCCCATCTGTCCACGTCATCATCTCTGCCTCAATCTCTGGAGTCACTGTTTCTCTGGGTAGGGTCCCGCTCTCCGCCCTTCTCCCTTGATGGTCCCAGGGACCTCTGCTCCCGGACTGCAAAGTCAATCACTCCTCTCCTTTGCTACAAACATCTACCTTTACATTTCTAACCCTCACAGTCAGTCCTGATAGCAGTTATTCACTACTGTACCACATGAGTAGTATCCCCCTCTCCTTTCATCAGCCCCATCTACACAGATTGGATACTACTCAGTAGAGACTCTACCTTCTTCCTTGCCCTCTGGATCTAGGATCCCTCTTGAAAGCTTGTAAGCAAGTCACTTATTGCCTTTGTAGCCCCCTGCATCTTGAGTTGGCAATGTCCAAGTTGCCCATCCCTGTCTACCCTGTGTACTAAGGGGGTAAAAATGATCCCTGCTGTAAAGATTTGTTCCCTCTTTTAAGCTACTATATCCATAGGTGTAGGTCAAGTTCATCAAATTGTATCAGATTACTCTTTTTCCTCTTCTTTCTTCTTCTAGCCAAGTTCTGATTATCCAGCCACTGAAGCCAGGTCAAGTGGGTATTATCTGCAAGTGTGGGTGTTCTTGTACATATTCCCTCACTTCTTATCAACTGGATGCTTCACTCTCCACTCGAGTCCTCTGTGGCCATGTCACTGCCTCTGGGCCCAGGAGTCCCCAGGTCTTGTCATACTGCTGGCCATCCAATTCTCCACCCGGGTTCACAGGAGTCTATTGAATATAGTCGGACTTAGCTCACACTTCATTGCTGTTTTTCCCTCACTTCCCCTTATCAATGATCAGTGTGGTCACCAGTCAGATCGCATGCCTGTTTGTGTATTTCTCTTGACTCTTAGTCTTGGACGAGGGTTTGCCCTGAGGTCCCTGACCATTTGCCTTGATGTGTCCTGGGCGAGCAGCTTGCTTGTTCTTGTCCTTAAACCTCTTTTACCAAGAAAAAAGATAAGACACAGGCAGGCAATGTGCTCAATGGTAGAAGCAGGCCCAGAACACAGACTTGCTGAATCTCAGTGCATGCTGACTCCTTGGAGTACTGACAATGCTTAGAGTGCTTGCTTTTGTTTTCCAATCATTCGGATGGGATCTTGCAATAACCAATTGCCCTCCTGATGGAACCTGGACAAATTGATGAGCTCCCTTTCCTTGGTCAGGCTATCTGTCTTTATATATTTCACCATGTTTACCACTAATTATAATTCTCTTTGTAAGCTGAGCTCTCCAGTTAAGTAATGTAATTGATCACTTCTGAAAACTACTACTAATTCTAAAATGGTCCAGAAGTATTTTGTCATGCTGTTTGTTTTTTTCATTGCTCCACCCCTGATATTAGAATTATTAAGATGTCACACACATCAGAGGAGAAAAACAGTCCTAAGAATCTCAAATGGAGTGTCTGATGTGTCAGAGGATAGAAGGGGTTAAGGAGGAAACCTGATATTTTATTGAAATTGATTTTAAGACAGATAAGGCAAAATTAATTTGAAAGAAACCTAGGTGACAAAAAGAGTGAAGATTCCACGCGGCTCCTTCCTTCCGCAGTAGCAGCCATTGAAGGAAAGCTGCCATGGCTGTGCACTACCCTATGGCCATTGGCCTCAACAAGGGCCACAAAGTAACCAAGAACTTGAGCAAGCCGAGGCACAGCCGCCGCCGTGGGCGCCTCACCAAGCACACCAAGTTCGTGCGGGACATGATCTGGGAGGTGTGTGGCTTTGCGCCTTATGAGCGCCGGGCCATGGAGCTGCTCAAGGTGTCCAAGGACAAGCGGGCACTCAAGTTCATCAAGAAAAGGGTGGGGATGCACATCCGTGCCAAGAGGAAGCGAGAGGAGCTCAGCAACGTCCTGGCCGCCATGAGGAAAGCGGCTGCCAAGAAGGACTGAGCAGGTCCCTGTCCACTGAGCCCTCCCTCCCCCCGAAATAAAGGACCTTTACACAAACAAAAAAAAAGAGTGAAGATTCCTTGTTAATCTGAAGTTTCCAAGGCTTATACATAATGTCTGCAAAGAAAAGGACAAAGGGATACAGGCCCATTACTCTACTGTCACATTTCCATAGTCTCTGTCACTGCCAACAGGTTGTGATAACTCTGTCAGTGAGCAGTAAGGCAGGATGGGGTTGGTATCACACTGGATTGGGATGGGAGCAAGGTTAATTTTGTAATTTTCCAGATTCTCCCAGTATAAACTGATGCAATGACTTTTTGTTTCACTCAAGACAGTAAAGTCAAAGAACAACCAAGCTTGCATGGTAGGAGTCCACAGGTGGTGACAACAGTTAACATGCTCCTCTGCTAACCCAAAGATCTGAAGATCTACTTGTGTAAAAAACAGCCATTGAAAACCCTATGGAGTTTTATTCTGACACACATGAGGTCTCCACAAGTCAAAGCTGACTCCAGGCCAATTGGTAGTGGTGTTGGGATTGGGGTAGGGATGTTTGACCCTGTCTGCAAGAGGTTGGTTTGTGGTGGTGCCATGCCATCGAGTTGGGTCCAACTCACAGGAACCTTATTTAGGGTTTCCGAGGCTGTAAGTTTTAGGGGAGCAGAAAGTTTCATCATTCTCCTGTGCAGCGGCTGGTAGATTTGAACTGCTGTAGAAAAGTACTTTTAGTTTGTGTGTGCCTTCTCTTCCAATGTTATTCCCCATTCCTTTGAGCAGAAAGTTTGATAAAGTAGAGCAAGGAGAACCAAGAGTAAAAATTCACCCTCAGGATTTCTTCTTCCTTTGTTGCTGTTGTTACCTGCTAGAGAGTTTGCCCTTACTTGCAGGGACTTCGTTCATAGTAGAACAAAACACCGCCTGGTCCTGTCCCAGCCCTATGATTGGTTATGGATCAAATTGTTATGTAGTGTTTTCATGGGTTGATTTTCAGAAGTAGATTAAAAGATATTTCTTCCTAGTCCATCTTAGTTTGGAAGCACCATTGAATCCTGTTCAGCATCATAACAACATGCAAGCTTCCACTGACAGATGGGTGGTAGTTGTGCCTGAGGTACCAAAAGGCAGCGGGTGTCTCACATGGAAGGCAAGAATTCAAACCCTGAACCAACAATGTCTTCTTTCTTTAGTTTTAGGTTTAACCTCAAAATTTCCCCTTATAGATAGTACAATTCTATTCTTATTCAGACAACACCTCGTCATCTAAATATAGTACAATTCTATTCTTATTCAGACAACACCTCGTCATCTAAATATAGTACAATTCTATTCTTATTCAGACAACACCTCTTCATCTAAAAGGCCATTCTGGGTAAGAAAAGACTAGCAAAGCACACACAAGTCAATAATTCAAGTCTAACAGAATGGCTATAATATTGTTGTTATTGAGTGCCATCGAGTTGGTTCCAACTCATATTGACCCTGTTTTGGGTTTCCAAGGAGCAGATGGTGAGTTTGATCTGCCAACCTTGTGGTTCAAACCAACCATGCAGTCTAATGCTTTATTCCACAGTGCCACACCAAGATTTCAATCCATACTTTGATTTTTGTTGCTGTTAAGTGCTGTTGAATTGGTTCCCACTCATAGCGACCACTATAGGGTTTCTGAGGAGTAAATGGTGAGCCTGAGCTGCCGACTTTGAAGTTCAAACTGACCTTGTAATCTAGTACATTAACCCTCAACACCACATCAGGACTCCAGATTGTCTATAGGTATCAATTACTGAGTACCTACCATGCATCAAGAGTCCTGGTGTGGCACTGTGGGTTAATGGGCCAGACTGCAAAGCCATTTGAACCTCAAGGTCGACGGTTCAAGCTCATAAGCTGCTCCTTGGAAACCCTACACAGGGTCACTATGGGTCAGAATCAACTCAACGGCACTTAACAACAACAACAACCATGCACCAAGAGACAATGATACTGAAGGAAGAAGTCCAAGGTGCATTGAAGGAATTGGCAAAGAACAAGGCACCAGGAACTGATGGAATAAAAACTGAAATCATTCAAGAAAGTGAGGAGACACTGGAGGCACTCACTCATCTATGCCAAGAAATTTGGAAGACAACTATCTGGCCAACTGATTGGAAAAAAATCCTGTATTTATGCCCATTCCAAAGAGAGGTGACCCAACAGAATATGGAAATCACCGGCCAATATCTTTGATATCACACGCGAGTAAAGTTTTACTAAAGGTAATACAGAAGTGGCTGCAAGCATACATTGATAGAGAATTTCCAGAGGTTCAAGCCAGATTCAGAAGAGGCCATGGAATGAGGGATTTCATTGCTGATTTCTGATGGATCTTGCCTAAAAGCAGAGAATATCAGAAAGTGTTTACCTGTGTTTTATTGACCACGCAAAGGCTTTCAATTGTGTGAATCATGACAAGCTATGGACAACATTGTGAAGTATGAGTATTCCTGAACAATTAATTATGCTCATGAGAAATCTATACATAGACCAAGAGGCAGTTGTTCAAACAGAACATGGGAATACTAACTGTTTTAAATTAAGAAAGGTGTGTCACAGGGTTGTATTCTTTCACCATACTTATTCAACCTGTATCCTGAACAAATAATACGAGAAGCTGGGTTATATGAAGAAAAACATGGTATCAGGAATGGAGGTAGACTCATTAACAATCTGCAAAATGCAGATGATACAATCTTGTTTGCTGAAAGTGAAGAGGACTTAAATACTTACTGATGAAGATCAAAGAGCACAGTCTTCGGTATGGATTGCATCTCAATGTAAAGAATACAAAAATCCTCACCATTGAACTAATAAACAATATTCTTATCAATGGAGAAAAGATTGAAGTTGTCAAGGACTTCATTCTTCTTGGATCACCTATCAACACTCATGGAAGCAGCAGTCAAGAAATCAAATGATGTCTTGCATTAGGCAAATCTGCTGCACAAGACCTTTTTAAAGTGTTGAAGAGCAAAGATGTCAGCTTGAAGACTAAGGTGCACCTAACCCATTTTCAATAACCTCATATGCATGTGAAAGCTGGACAGTGAATAAGGAAGACCATAGAAGAAATGATGCTTTTGAGTTATGGTGTTGGAGGAGAATATTGAATGTGCCATGGCTGCCAAAAGAACAAAGAGATCTGTGTTGGAAGAAGTCCAGTCAGAGCACTCCTTGGAGACCAGGACGGCCAAACTTTGTCTCTCAGACTTCAGACATATTGTCAGGAGGGAACAGTCGCTGGAGAAGGACATCATATTTGGTAAGGTGAAGGGTCAGAGAAAAGGAGGAAGACCCCCATCTTGATGGATTAGCAATATGGCAGCTTCAGTGGCAACAACTGTGAGGTTGGCACAGGACCAGGTAGTGTTTCATTCGGTTGTGCATAGGGTCACTATGAGCCAGTACCAACTCAATAGCACCTAACAACAACAACCATGTTTCATATAATATTCTAGAGACATACCTCGTCTCATTAAATCCTCACAGTATCCCCTAAGATATATATTGCTATTTCCATTATCATAGACCAGGACACTAAGACACAGAACTGCCAAGTTCCCAGATCTAACAAATGATAGAACTAGAGTCCCATCCAAGTCTGTTTAATGGTCAAACCCACGCCTTTTCCACTGGATTACTCTGCCACTGGCCTGCAAAATGGCCCCATCCTTTCTCTGATGTAATAGACAAATCACGACCACGGAATCATACAGATCTCAGTTCAAATCCTGTCTCTACATTTACATACTAAAGAATAGTAATTTCTTATGTTGAGGAACTACTATGAGAACTAAATTAAATAGTCTCCAGTACTTTTTCTAGTAAATTTAAGGGAATCACTTTTATTACTCTATTCCACCTCTATTCTTCCACCTCATATCTGAATAACAGAGAAACATAAATGAAAGAGCACAAAAAAATGACTTTCAGAATAAAGCGAGGTTTGAATTTCACCTAGGCTCCTCAGTAGTTCTATAACCTTTGCCAGCTACAAGGTCTCTAAACGTTCATTTCCTCTGTTAAACAGAGAACCTAATGTTATATATTATGCATTATTATCATTTTAATCACATCACATGTATTTATATACAGGAATACTTTATTTAACATATGTAGCATTATACCAACATTTTTCAATATTGTATAAATATTTATTGTATATGTTGTTGTTAAGTGCCATCAAGTTGGGTCTGACACAAAGCAAACTTGTATAGAGTTTCTGAAGAATGGCAGTAGGCTAGCAATCCAGTGATTATCCAATAGTACCACACCAGGCATAGATCTATACATAGATGTATGCATATGCATACATGTATGTGTACAAGTATCCCAGGTTCCTGGGTGGTGCACACAGTTTGCACTCAAAACACCAAAAAGTTGGCGGTACCACCCTGGCAATCTGTTTCTGAATGATCACACCCAAGAAAATCCTATGGACCAATTCTGTTTTGTAATGCATGATATTGCCATGAGAAAAAATGGATACAACAACAAGAAGTTTGGTTTATATATGTATATTTTAAGTCCTGGTATGGTGAGGTATGATTAGATTGCTAACTACAAGGCCGGTGGTTCAAACGCACTCAGCCTGCTCCTTGTAAACCCTACACAGGGTGGCTATAAATTGGAAATGACTCTATAGCACATAACAACAACAGCATCTACAATATATATCATAGGTTTGAGTGGATGTGTTTTGTATAAAAACGTAACCCACTTCCACACCCTAGGTCCTTTTTTCTTTTTTAAGTCCCATCTACCCTTATTCACGTAAGAGAATACATTGGAAGCTTCAAAAAAGATTAAAAGATGATGACCAGCTAATGCCAAGGAATGACTAAATGGCATTTCCTGTTCCCCTTGTTTTGAGGTGGGGGAGAGGAGGAAGAAATCCTGAATCTCCTGATTTGGGAGCTAATAGGCAGCAGTGGGACTCTGACTTGGAGCATGCCGAGTGATCTTCTAGGATGAAAAGTTCAGTTAGAATGCAGGCAGTGAAGAATCAACAAATCAA